TGTGTTTACCCTTTAAAACTTTCTTTTCTTCTAATGTAACTGTGGATAATCTTCTAACTTTTTAGTCTTTTTAGTATCTTTTTAAGATTCTTCTTTAAGAACTTCAGGGTATACGCATGTGTTGTAATAAAGTAGGAGGGCAGAAGGGCAGTAGTTTCTTCTTATCGGTTCTGCCTTTGGACTTTTCTGGTTCTTCTGCAGCTTGCAGTTCCTGGTAGGGTAAGGTAGAACAGAGCTGACCTTTTTCAGTATTTCTGGTGATTTACACCTCATTTGCTATATACTATTGCTCTTTTGCTTCCTGTCTGAAATCTCCTGCCTCTGTGGGAGTCGTGCTGTGCTTCTGATTGTTCCAAGTACCATTTCCTAAACTGTTGCTGTTCCTCCTCTGAATTTTAATGAAATGGCTGGTACAAAGTCAAGTATATGTGGTGGTCGGCGTTACTGCTTTTATGATATGTCTGTGACTTTTCAATATACATTTCTACACTCACCCTTACTTTATTTAGAGGTTTGCATTCTTTTACCTGCCACTAAGCAGGTTTTTTGCAAGCTGTCTCCAAGGATGCTGAAGGGGATTCAGAAATTATAATAATTCAAATTTTTAGCATATTTCTGAAAGTTCTTTGTTTTGACATTAATACAATTATGAAGCAGCACTGAATCCTATTAATTCCCTTCACTTTCTGAAAAAATGACCACCCTTCAGCATGCTTGTTCTCCTGTCCTCTAGGCCATTACTGTCTTTGAAAGTCTTTACCCCTTTCACTGCTTGGGGAAGGACTTTATCAGAAGCCAGCTGAGGATCTGAGTATATATATTTGTTTCTTTAGAAAATAATTGGGCCACCCAATAATGACATAGTCGACACAAGGGATACCTTTTCTCATTAATGAGATGGGTGATCTGCATGGAAGATTGTCATAAGTCCCAGTGTGAAAATTTATAACAGTTCTGTAATTCCTTTAATAATAATTACAGTATTGAAGGACATAACTGTCTTATAGCAATTTGTTTACCACGACTGGCATTTCACGCCACCTCTGTTTCTTCCTTCTATCAACAGCAAGTCTTCCCATTTCTCTTCTCCACTCAGCCTGCTGACTGTTGTTTGGGTTAATAAGTTGCCACTGAATCTAAAATACTGGGGCTATATTCTCTAAAAGAGCTTTTCTTTAGTAACTGTTTAATCTAGATGAGAGCATTCTAGGATATTCTGTAGAGAGCACCTTCAGCAGAAATGCGCATTTACCTACTCCAGGTCACAATTCTGAGGTTACCATGCTATTTTTATTTTAGCAAGCCCGAAGGATTGGTAGCTGTCAAACAAGGCTGTCATTTTTGTCTGCTTGATTGATTATAGTGCCAAAGAGGAAGGTGAAACAGAAATGGCGTGTGACAACTTTGATACTGACATGTTAATTATGCAGAGAAAAATAAAGAATCTATTTTCATTTTTCTGTCTTCAGCCCTTGTAGATATCACATGCATGAAGTAGAAGAAAGACTATTATGAAGGGCGTTTAAAGTCTGCTTGGATTTTTCTCTACTTGTCTGAGCTACTGAATAGAGGTTTCATATTGGATTTGATATTGAAGTTAATGGGAGGTAAAATCATCTGTCAATGGCTATATGATCAGATTCTAAGACTGCATAAATAGGAACTTCATCTCCCTCTCCAGCTGAAAACAGAGGAGCTTTATCAAAAGAGTCGAGAAGACTTTGTTTCTTTTGTAGGAAGGAGAGTAAATCTGGAACAGGAAGAAACATCAATAATGGATGTCGTAAAGGGAATTGACCTTTTTGGAGTTTCCTCTGGTTCAGAGGTTCGGGGGTGGCTTTTTCTTTTGTTTTTTGCTAAAAGCAACAAAAATCAAGAGAAGAGCAGATGTGTCTTATCTGTCCATTAAGCCGCAGAACACCTCAGGCTCTTCTTTGGGAAAGGTACCAGCAGGGGGCACAGTGAAATAAGGCACTGTAGATCAAAACTGATTAAAATAAGTATCTCCATTGATATGCTTTAAAAACTACTGTAATACAGAAAGATCCCTCATCTTCAAAGTGTTCTGGAGAACATATCTGTCCCCTTATAGCTTTATTGAATTTTGCATAAAAAGAAGTTTACAAACTCCCAGAAACTGGAGTTGGAAACTTCCCCTTCATCTCTATAGAGACATGCTCAGTGTCCCTGCTTTTATTTATACAGGAAGAAGAAGTAGGAGTATAGTAACATCTAGAGCTATTCTCTTCTGGTTTCTTCTTAAGGGTTATCTGCTGGGTTGTTTTGAACAAGAACACAGAAGCTTCATGATGCCTGAAGGGTGGTGATGGTGGAAGCGATCAGATTTTGTAGGTGTTATGCAACTACGGTCCAGTAGAACATGATCTTCTACAGTTGTTCTTTTTTTCCCGTTGGGTTATCTCCCAGTAAAACTGTTAAATCATATAAATACATGCAGCTATATCCTCAATTAATTTGCATTTAACATTTGTGACTGTCTGATTATTATATTAAGGCATTTATGCCACTACCAGAACCCTTCCCTTTCTGCTCCAAACCCCTCTCTGCTTAATTGCGTAACCCTGATTTTGAAAGAAGTGGATTTTCGATTGTTTTAGCTTTTCTTGTTATTGCAGACACTGCTATTATGTTGTGTGACTTATATCAGTATACTTATATGACAATGAAGTCATCAGATATTATCTTCTTATTAGAAGGGGATGTGATTTTTGTTGTAGTTTTGGTTTGGTTTTGGTTTGTGTTTTTTCTAAGCAACTACAATATTGCATTCTGACTGCTGCAGCAATATATGGTACATCAGTATAAAGTATTGCAAGTATGTTTTGTTAGTGCACATTCTGTCCGCTGTTAGATTCCTCATGCTCTGCAGGACTTTTTTGTCATTTGCAATAGCACCGCTAAGTGATATTAAATAACCTTCACTACTAACCCATCATCTAAGTTTGTAGGCATCTCCTTTCTATCCTAATTAATCTTGACTTTGCAGTGGCTCACTATCCTTGTTCTAACCTGTGTGCTGCTGTACTGCGATTTTGTATCAAGCCCAGCACTGCTCTCTGCCTTTCTCAGTCACCCTCAGTCATCTCTGGGCCGTTTGTCCACAGTTGCTGCTTGCAGAGGGACAGAGATCCAATCCAGGTGCATGTTTGAGTTTTGGATGTTTCAGATTCTCTGTCTGTCTGTCTGTCTGTGGGGTGGGCAAACAGCCACTCTGATGCTGGAGTTAGTCTTGTTGTTCTGTACTGAAGTAACTCTTCACCACTGGAGACTTTGCTTCATCTCTTTACCATTATAACTCTAACTTCTTGAATTGGCTATACAGGATTATCTGGGGCTAGTTACCGCAGGCTTGGCCTATTTAAAATCTCCACACTGATTTTACCTAGACCCTGTAGCTGGATTGAAGCCTGATACTGAAAAGCAACTTAATTGCTGATAATCACTCACTGTTCATAGTGAAAATCCTACTCCATTAAAAATCCTTGGTTTGCTTGAAAACATTTCCATTCTTCTTTGTCCTCTATATGCAGAACAACATTTCCTGATTTATTCTTTTAGTCAAAGCTGGAAGCTGGTGTTATCATGCTGAAAGATAAGATTTGGAGGAGGAAAAAAAATATTTACTGAGTGCTCAAGGGAACATTTACTTCTATTTCTTGCCACTGTATATGGAAGAAAAAGTATCTTTCGTTGTTCAACAATCTTCAGTTGTCTCAAAAAATTGAATTTTGCAGTTCAGGCTGTGAGCTGCAAAGGAGCAAATTTCTGCACATATTAATTGCTGTGCTGAATACTACCTCTTTGTATCGAGTCTCAGCTGATCTAGGTACTTGTTCAGTCTGGGTTTCAGAAAGAACTTAAAAATAATATTGTTTTTTATTTTTTGTCAGATTTACTTAAAAAATATGCTCTTTAAGCTGCTTGGAAGTAATTTGATGATCTGCAAGCAAAAAGATAAATAATAAGGGCAACCATTTGATCTAAGATTTATATAACTCTCTCTGATATAAATGCTATTTCACATACTTAGGTTTTTTCAAAATAAACACTGCGGCTCAAATGCTGTGTTACTACTCTCTTCCTCAAAGGATTTCTTACATGAAAGAGGAAAATAAATGCCTGAAAAAGATCCCTTCCAATATTTCTGAGTTGTTATAGTGAAGAAGTCTTATGGTCTTTTCTTATTTTTTTATATACTTATACGTAATCTCAAGCACATACATGGTTACAACTAAATGTGATATAGAACTTAGGTGCTTGATTCTTCAGGTGAGTTTAAGAGTCCAGAAAGGCTTGCCTACGGCACAGTTTTCAAAGTATATGGGTTCCTTTGCAGAATTTTCTGGAGATCACACAGTACATAGCTTTCCTATAAATTTGGTGTCCTCCACACTGTTGAGAAACAACATCGGCAGCAACAATGACTTAATTTTAGCAAAATTCTCTTGAATCTTGTGTCTTCAGTTGGCTTGGCAGTGAAGAAGTTTTACAAACCTGTTCATAATTGAACAGTTGTTTATAAGCATGTTTAGTCATCCTAGTAAAGCTTCTTGGGGGGCCTTAGCTGAATGTGTTCCGTTTATGTATATAGGTATGTATATAACCATACATGCACAACACAGTAATACTATTCTGTAGGTTTTTTGCATATCTGGACCGAGAGCTTCAGCAGACTGTTTGGTTTGTACATGACATTATGTTTCTGTGGTGTGTACTTGCAACAAAACATTGTTTCTTAATATGACCATCAACTAGAGTCTTAAGTGTAATTCTTACAAGTCCAAATTTTCCAAGTAGTTGCATAGACGTAAGCCAACTTTTCATTAGTTTGGAGAGCAAACAAGAAATAGCAAATAAAAAAGGGACGATGCAGGATGACTGCAGATGAGTCCACACTTAAATTCTATAGATACAGTTTATCTAAATTCCCGTTCGGTCCCCATATGTTCCCTGATCTAGTCAAGAGGTGGTGTCCCTCGAGAGGCTGGATTAAAATGATCTCTAAGGTCACTTCCAGCCTAGGCCATTCTATGATATGATATGATATAAATTTGGGTATTATTTTCTTTAATGTAGCCTGAATCCGACTCCCAGGTTAATGGCGCTTCCCCCTGTGCTTCGCCCCAGCACTCTGCCCTGGGTTACCCGCGTGAGCAAGAGACAAGCTCACACTTTCATCAGACAGGTAAGTGTTTTGATCAGACAATGTGCTGCGTGGGTCTGTGGGTGACTACTGCTTAGGTTGGTTGGCACCTTTCTGAAAAGATGTATAAATAAAAGGCAGCTGATAGAATCATAGAATGCATTGAGCTGGAAGAGACCTTCAAAGGTCATCTTTATGATGCTCCTGAGAACAGGACGTACTGCAGCTGAAGCTGTTGCTTCCCCACGCTTGCAAACAGCTGCGATATCACAAGAACCCATGTGTCTCTCAGTTACAGATTTCTGTCAGTGTTCCCTGGTTCCATCCATTTTGAGCAAGGTAATTTACTGGGCAAACCCATCTTCACTGAACGGGGAACCAAATTTCATTGAACCAAAATGGCCAACTGCTGTTTGTCCTGCAGTACAGGCATGCCCCTAAGTAGTCTGTTGGATAGAGGAACAAATGTCCAAAGTGTGTCCCAAACAGGAAAACAGGAGGTCGTGGTCACAAACTGGAAAACAGGAGGTTCCAACTAAACATAAGGAAATACTTCTTTACTATGAGGGTGACAGAGCAGTGGCACAGGCTGCCCAGGGAGTTTGTGGAGTCTCCTTCTCCGGAGACTTTCAAAACCTACCTGGACGCGTTCCTGTGTGACCTACTGTAGGTGATCCTGCTCTGGCAGGGGGATAGGACTAAATGATCTTTAGAGGTCCCTTCCAACCCCTAACATTCTGTGATTCTGTGATTTTTGATGTAATTCCTGATGGCTGCTTTAAAAATTCTTGTGTATCTTCTGCTTATCCTGGACGTTTGATGACCACACCCCTCAAAGACTTCACAGCCTTAGAGTTATCGAGTATTTAAGTGCACAGCCTCTGCACATAGGTTGATTTCTCTCTTGAAAGATTATTTTAAATTCTCCAATATAAGAACACATTAATTCCAATGGGAATTATCAGAAATAACTACAGACCACTGAATGCACAAAATTAGAGGAAAAAAATTTCACAAAAGTTCAATTTCTTCCCTGTTTTTGTTTTCAAGCCCTTGTGCTATAGAATAAAAAATTTATTTTATTTCTGTGGAAAACAGGAAAAATGTGCTCTTACATACTGAGAGGTTTTCATTTGGTATTGACATGTTGTTACTTTAATTTCTCTGGAAAAACATGACAGTTCCTTGAGTCTGGTTTAATGCAGTGGTAGATATATGAGAGATACTGTCTAGTAACAGTGCCAGGAAGAGAGCCTGTTGTATTCCCTAGCCATTCCCTTGGCTAATTTTAAGCAGCATTAAAAAAAAAAAATGGGAAGAAGGATTTTAACACTAGTGAAATTGCTGGTGTATGTTGCATAAGGACCATCTAAAAGATAAATGGTGGGGATTTTATTCTGGAAAATAAATGGTGTATTTGCTGTGAAAGTTACATGACAAATCATCTGAAAATGGAACAAAATTTTAACTGAGCAACTACCAAGTATAATTCCCTCGTCTTGTAAACCTTTTATTTATTTGAACTCTACATTCTTATATACAGCTCCTTCTTGGCAAATTCTTTTAGTTAAATCTTGGGTGCAATGGTTAAGCTTTAATAAGAGAGAAGTGAGTTCTGCTGCAAATCAATAATGCAGCTTTCACCTCCTCTCCCAAGGCTGCCAATTGTCAATGACAGTTCCTGCACATAAAGTTACAAAGCCTTCAGGTAGTGGTTTCCCTTGAAGGAGTATTTAACTGGAAGCTTGGATGAGAAAGCCTTTTTTTTCTTTTGTCTTTTTTTTCTTTTTCTCTGCTCATTACTGAATTCATTGCTCTCCTTTGTTGTCATATCTCCAGATGACTTGTTAGTTCCACCTCATGATACCAACACAGATCTAACAGATGTTATGGAGCAAATCAACAGCACATTTCCAGCTTGCTGCTGTAAGTGTAACAAAACGTGTCTTTGGTCTCCGAGTATAGTGTTGGATTTGAAGTGATATTTTAAAGAAAAAATTAATTCTTTTGGTAGTGACTATGAAAAAAAATCTCATCTCTGGTAAGACTTCTTGTCGATATATGCAGGCAATGTAATTCTCTTCTTTTAAAGTTCCTCAATAGACATTCTTCATGAAGGTAAATAAATAAAGATTCTCATGCTTTAGGTGGAAGTGATTCACTATAAGAAATATCTATACCTCCATATGAAATTTTCAGCTGTGCCCACAAGAGGGAAGAGACCTAGAATCCTATTAATTGCTGATATAAACCTTATGTAGAATTTAAGTGAATGTGGATTCAGAAATTCTGAATGCTGGTTTTCTAATAAAACTTGAAAAAAGGGCCTTAGGCAACAGGAGGGTCCATAGCCCAATCCTGACTGCCTGAACTAATTATTGAACTAGTTATTAAACTAATTGACCAGAATATAACACAGCATATAACACCTTTCCTTGTTTAAATGCATTGAAAATAGATATGCTATTCAGTGTCTATTAAAAAGAGATCAGAAGGAAAATCCAATTAGTGGACTATGCGTCTTATAGCAGCTGACATATATTTTCATTGATTCTGTTCTTCCTAGAGCGTCACTACACGTAGAAGAATGAGTAGCTATCTCTATTTCCAGTGGTATTTCATACAGATTGTTGATTTTAGCGGAGGTGGTGAAGTGGCAACTTTGGTGTCAGTGTATTTTTTTTTTACATATGTGCATAAATACATATTTACACCTTCAGCTCTTTTGCCTTAGAAAATCAGTAGTGAAAACTTTTACATATTGTTAACTTTCCACAGTTCTTTCAAATTAAATGTGATAAGGATGGTCAGCCTAATTCTACTTTGTAAACTCAGTGAAGCCTGTTAAAATATCCCTTTTATCTCTTGGCTGTGAAGAACTGTGTCACAGAAGATGCACTTTGCACATTTTGAGAAAGAAAATTAGAATCTAACAAAAATAAAAAGGTCTTATCTCAGATGTTCTTTGAGATTTTCAGTGAGTTAAATAGCTCAGAGCCCATCATTTTTCAAATTAAGGATTTGATTCTAAGGAGCATCGCTTCTTGAAGTCAACAGCTAGTGGAGCTACTCAGCACAACTCAAGGCGTGTGTGTGTGTATACAAATCAGTAGAAAATGCAACTCAAGTATCATTTCTTGCTTTTGCAAATTCCTATCTTGCATGTGTAAGGAGTATACAGCTACCTGGTCATTTAGCCCAAATTAAAGCAAATTGCCCTGTGTCAGGGCAAGTTTGATAATGATGGCTGTTATCTGCAAACAGGGAACGTGGAGTGGGGAGGGAACTTAATATCCCTGAAGCAATACCCTGAGTGAGGCAGGAGGGGGCCACAAGTGAAAACCATGGCCCCACATCCTTTCATATTGTCAAGTGTATCTGAGCATTTACAATTAAAAGAAGTCACAGTTCCAAATTTCATGGGATTTTTCCCTTTGTCATTGGCATGCTGCTGCAGAAATCAAACCAAATGAGCATGCCCCAATTCATAGCTACTACTCATGTTTGCTTCTCCTCAGTCATTTTATAACATTTCTTACTTGGGAGTTTTACTATGAGTACATTCTTTTAACCAAGTAAGACTTACATACTGTTTCAGATGCCTGAAATGAGGATTCCTACTCTGCACTTCTAATTTCATTAGAACAGCCTTCATGTTCAACATATCTTGTCTATTTATTTAGGGGGAAGAAAAGGAAGCTATTTTTAAAAAACATCATTGCTACTAGTGTCTCCTGCCATGGCTGCAGCTTTCATTAAGGAGTTACTAGCATCTGAGCCTTACAAAGATTATTTTTATCCCATCTCAACTTTACAATAGAGCTAGTCTTCTTATTTGCTATATCTTTTTATGTGTTTCAGGTTATAAATAATCCTAAAATCAGTATTTCTACTTACTCCAAATAAACTTTATGAAACAATTATTTTTATAGTAAGGTCAGCACTGTTCTTAATGGTGGGGTTTTTAGTGTTTTTTTTTTTACTCCCCAGATCCTTTGATTATGGATGTAATGCCTCTTTTCCTTCCTTATTTATAAGGTTGGAAATCAGAACTAGGCAGTTGTGCCACACTATGCAGTAGTCTTGCCTGTGCATCTGAGTTACAGAAGAGAGCATTTGAACAGACGATGTTATAATACACCACTCATAGGTCTATTTGGTTGGAAGGGATGAAAAAACAATATAATCTCTATATTCATACTATAAATTTGTTAAAAGTAAATTTGAGAAGGAAGTTTTGTATAGGCCATTACAGCACACTTCTAGTTAAGTACTTTTTTTTTTAAAAAAAAAAAGACTCTTTGTTCTTCTGTGGTACATGTTTTCTTAATACCATTTTTGCTTTTAAACTCCCAGGATGCAGAATCATGTAAATTTCTAAATTTCTTTTTTTTTTTTTTCTATTTGCAGCAAGTTTCACTGGCAGACCACAGGTATGAGACATGTTTACATATTTGCATAGTCACTGGAAGCAAAGTAAAGCAAGTGGAAAATTTCCATGAAAGAAAAGTGGCTCGGTTTCTTTCTGTGTTTTTCTCCAGAGGTCTGTTTGGAAGCTAGAACAGTGTAACATGGAGACTAGATTCTAGAATATCCCAACTGATAGAAAATTCCTGCTAGTTCAGATATTACCAAGGGTACTGTGGTGCACAGGTCTGGGATGCTGACCAGATGGAATCAGCTTTAATCTGTCAGGGCCAATTAGTTTCAAGGTAAGCATCAGCTTGCAAGCTCAAAGCTGGTTCTTACAAAGACATCCATCCTTACATCCTTGTGCCTGGTGCCTGTCGCTCCAGTTCCAGGAGCTCTGGGCACCAGGGCAGAAGGATCAAGAGCCACACAGCATCTTAGGCATATGGTTAAGCTCCTTTCTCCCAACAGGCAACCACTTTACAAACCCAAAGCAGAAATTTGACTACTTTCAGAGTTCACAAAAACGTGGAAAATGATCTCGTATTTAGATACTTGTTCTTGAAAAACTAACTGGTATGAATGATCAGTTGAATTCCTGTTATGAGTAAAAGAAACAGAAAAAACACTTGATGTAGGTTTAGGTTGATATTGGAGCCCATGTATGACAAATAAGAAGTGACATAATCTTGTGTTGTTGCAGAGTTCTCTGAAAGTTTCATTATTAAATAACTTTTAAAGACTACCGCAAATTGCTGTGCGAGACTTCAGAAGAATTAAGTAGTAGGGAAGGAGTCTATTTACTCCCTCAAATTGTTTTACCTTGCCCATTAATCCACGGTTTGCAAGGACAGACTTCACCAAAATGGATATCTAAAAATTCAGAAGTACTGCTCTGCAAACCCTTTCTTGGATTGCAGTGTCTGGAATAGTAGGATTGTCCTCCCAGACAAGAATTTCTAAAGAGAATGGGATGAATCAGGCCCTGCACTCAGTTAACTCAGACTTCTTTTCATAAATCCTTTCTCTAAGCAGGCACAGAGATAGCTTTCAGTGTTATCAGTGAATAATGCTAATCTGCCTAAAAAAAGCATTTGATTTTTTTTTAGATACAGGATGATCCCCAAGTGGTCTAACTGCAAATCTACCCTTTCAGAGCCACTAGAGAAGGCAGATTTATCTGTTCAGGATCAGAATCCTGAAACAGGAGCCTGGAAATAAACTTCACATTTCAAGGGGCTGAAACCAAATCCAGCCAATATGTCTAAATTTTCAGAATATGGTGTTTTTGTAAACTAAACCGAGCCCAGAGCAGTTTGAGCTTTTAGAGTGCATTAACGTGCTAGTGACACGGTTGTGTCTCATCATGACAGGCAATGTGAAGAGGTCATTTGGACGTTGACCAGTACTTCCTGACAGGCAGTACAGCCCTTTTCTACAAACCACCGATCGTGAGTTCCGCTTCATCAGAAGGCTGCATGGGACCCTGGAACATGCTCTTCGCTCTGACTGCGTGTTCTACTTGAAATAGTAACACACTGAATACCCAAAGACGAGGATGTTGTTTTTATAGTATTGTTTTATTTTCTTCTTCTTCCCTTTCTATGCAACTGTAAATTAATGAGCAGTGGAGTATTTGTCACTGATTTGTATAAATATACAGCCGCGGGAAAAGGGGCAGGGGCTTTATATACGTTCTTTTTGATAATCGTAAAGAGAACTGCATAAGGAGTTTGGAGCAAAATGTTACATTTATACATTCCTTTGCTTTTACATTGTAAAATACCCTTAGTTATGTTCTCACACATTTAACGTTCTGTACTGATTATTTATACGCTAACCATCTGACCACACAGATTTCAGAATACACTTGAATTGTTTTCAGAATTGGCATATGAAGTTCCCATAATCCGCATTATTATATAACAAAAATTGCCGTTGGGTGCAAACTACAGTATTTTAACTCCATTAAATAAGGTAAACTCTCATATCGAGTCATAATCATCCTTCTCATGCACCAAAACGGTATTTTTAACTTTCTTTTAGTTATTTCCAGCCAACACACTCATTGCGAGGATTATTTTTTTAAGCCTTACTTTACTTTGAATCAGGAGATAGCTAAAAAGAGGACTTAGATGATAGCATAAGTTGTTTTTAGTAAGGTCTAAGTTAGTGTAATCTTTCCCAACTTTGTTCAGAGACAAAGCTTTGCTGTTCCCTGCTGTGCCAGACTTGCTTTGAGTTTTGGAATTCACAGTCTATGAAGTAAAGCACATTTCTGTGAGATCCCCTTCTTTTGTCTGCCTCTTGAAAATGAAGAGACAATTAGAAAGCCCTTTCCAATACTATTAGCGACAGAACATTTTCTTCAAAATTGCAATGCACTTAGATATTACTTGACATTGTAATCTTGCAACTCATCTTTATCTTTGAAGTCATTTATTTATGTACTTAAAGTAGGGATAATTTACAGGAAAGTTGTGTCACTGATCAGCTGATCTCTATTTTTAAAATTATCATAAGAGATTTTAATGCCTTCATGGTTTACAAAGTTGCATGGACACTTGCTTTAATTTCAGGACATACCTTTGATTGGTAAAACTGCATGCGATATATTTCATGTGTAGCAAAGAGAAACTAAACTGTGTTGTTCTTAATTATTACTGAAGGAAAAACAAAAATAATCTCAAAATGCTATCAGAAGAGGTGTAAATTCTCTACCACTACCTAAAAGTGCTAGAAGACATTAAGACAGCAGGTCAGGAATTTCTAGTGTTTTTGTGAAGTGGTGCCAACGAGACTGCCCTGCACTGGCAGGATTCACTCCTGGGCTGCTGATGCTCACAAGGAGTGATTTGGGCACAGCGTCGACCGTGTCCTAGCGTTGGCTTTGGTGCCAGTTCTTTCTTGAACCCTTTGGCAAATTATTTAACCACTCTGCCTCTGTTTTCCCATCTGTAAAATGGGGATGATAGTACTTACCTCTCGAAGGTGTTATAGGGCTTGCTTAGTTAGTGTCTGACAAAGCTCGGTGTAAGTGCAAAGTGTTACTCCCAAGTGTGTGGAGCAAAATTGTCAGGGTGGGAAGATGCTGGTTCCTATAAATGCTTCATCTAGTAGAAAAAGTAGTGTAGTTATTTTGAGAAGAAAAAACCCCACATTTTACAGAAGAGGAAAGCCATGACCACCTTTCTACCTCAGACCTATCCTCATGAGTAGTATTGGAAATAGCTTTATATTCTGTTCTCTGCAAAGTACTTTGCTTTTATCAAGCTACATCATTATCTAGGCAAAGAATTCTTAAAAATACCCCCCTACATAAGTAAAAAAGGTCTTAGTAGTGAATTTGGTGGCTTTTATTTTTGTTCTGAATATGAGGCTATGTATAAAATCGTTTTTCTGCCTGTGTTTGTATGCATCCTTTGTCCTCTGCTGCCAAGTAAATGCTGCTTCAAACACTACATTGTAACGTTCTTCCTCTGAGACAATAATAAATAAAAGGAATATATTGCAGTAATATGAGAAAAAGTATGGACTTCTTTCAAGTTTTGTGATCTTCAAGGAGGCACTTCTCATTACTAAATGCTGAAAATTGCATTCTGGAGAGGATTAAGCTTAATGCAGGAGCTCTCTGATACTCCATTTCTACGTGCTAGCATTTTTGGAGTGTGGTTTGCATTTATATAAATGAGATTAGGCAGTGTTTTCACCCATAAATCCATTCGTATTTTTTAAAGTTTTCCATTTTTAGTGATTTAGCCTGAAATTCTTCTCAGTTCGTGACAGATATTAAATCTGATCATGGAGATGCAGACCGCTTTTCTTTTAAAAAATGTTATATACACATATTAAAAACCAGCAATAATGCATGAAGCCCTGTCAAATATTAGAATTGTAAATTAGTCTTCTCATTTTGATGGCATTCAGTCAACATCTCAGAGGAAGCACAGTATTAGGTTTCAGTCAGGAAACCCATATTTTCTAACCCGACCATGTGCTAGTTTCAGGTACTTTCATTAAGCTAATGCAAAATGTGTGGCTAAAGAAGGAAAACAGTTCATAACCCTAATGCTTCTGTTTCCTTGTAATAGTAGTTGGGACTGTCTTCATGTTCAATGTTTATGAAATTATTACTTTTTTCAAAATCTAGTATGCAAAACATAAGTGTTAAAGTAATGACATTTTCCCTGAGTTTGTGAGAGGATGCTTAACAAAGTAAGAACCAGATTTTTCACATGGCGTTTAAGTGATTCAGCAGGTAACAAGGAATTTAATTAGAGAAACAGAAATATATTGAGCCAAATTAAGTTCCGTATTTAGAAAAATAAATGTGTTAAAGAGGAGATGCATAGATTAAAGAAACTATTTAACCACATCTGTCTTTTAAAAGGTGTAAACATCATTATATTTAATATAATTATTATCTTATAATAATACATTATATAATATAACATATAATATG